TGCTTGAGGGATGTCCAAGACCCTCACATACAAAACCTCTTACCTCCCTCCCTTCCAACCTCTCTTATGGTAACTCCTACCCAGCCTTCCCTCCACTACCGATTTATACACCTAAGTCATCCTATTTTATCCAATCTTAAATGCCCAAACCACAACAACCCCTCTTCAGCCCTCTAAATAATACTTTTAGTAACCTCACACCTAATCTCCAAGCTATGAATTCTCTGCATAATACTCACACTACACAATGCCCTCAGACATATCTCCACAGCCTCCAGCTGTGTCTTTGCTGCAACACTCAACCCATCCTTCACACCCATAGAAGTGTGTTAGTACCACTATACTCTCATACATCCCCCCCTCCCCCCCCCCCCCCCCTTTTAAGGAAAACATTCTTTGTCTCCACAGATTCCTCAATGGACTACCCACCATTTTTCATTCATCAATTCTATAGTTCACCTCATATTTCACAGACCCATCCAATGACAAGTCCACTCACATACTCCATCCTTCCAATCTGACATCCAAATTTTCATTACCTAAATCATTTGTTACCCTCATCACCTTGCTCTTTCCAATATTCACTTTTAATTTCCTTCTTTTACATACCCTCCAAAATCTGTCCACCAACTTCTGCAATTTCTCTTCAGAATTTCCCAAAAGCACAGTATCAGCAAAAAGCAACTGTGACAACTCCCATTTTGTGTTCTTTATCTTCCAGTCCCACACCTTCGTAGAACCACATTTATAAACATGTTAAACAACCATAATGATATCACACATCCCTGTCTAAGGCCTACTTTTAGTGAAAAGTAATCCACTCTCTCCTACAAACCACAACCCATCTCACTAACCTATTCCATACATTTGCAACATCTGCCAAATGGCTTCCCTATCTACCCTATCATGCCGTTTCCAAATCCATAAATGTAACAAAAAGTTGCACACTTCAAAGTATTGGTCAATTATGAGCTGCAATGTAGACTACACATAAATAACAAAAAGGCACAATACCGTGACTGGAACGATACACAAATAACCCGCACATAAAAGACAGAAGCTTACGACGACATTTCGGTCCGACTTGGACCATTGACAAAGTCACACTGACTTTGTCAATGGTCCAAGTCGGACCGAAACGTCGTCGTAAGCTTCTGTCTTTTATGTGCGGGTTATTTGTGTAGACTACACATACTCTACCTTTCCCTAAAACTTTGTTCCTCTGTAATCCTACGTTCTGCCTTACCCTTATTTATTTCAATAATAATTCTATTCTATACTTTACCCAGTACAGTGGACCCTCGACCAACGATGGCATTGATTAACGATAAATCCGACCAGCGATACATTTTACCACAAAAATTTTGCCTCTACTAGCGCTAAAAAACTCTACCAACACTATTCGTTCCGTCTGAGACGTGTCCATTTCTGGCCAGTGTTTACAAGCCAGCCAGCCACCACGGTCGCTTCCAAGCATACAATCGGAACATTTCATATTATCACAGCCTTTTTAGTGATTGCACCTGCAAAATAAGTCACCATGGGCCCCAAGAAAGCTTCTAGTGCCAACCCTATAGCAAAAAGGGTGAGAATTACTATGGATATGAAGAAAGAGATCATTGTTAAGTATGAAAGTGGAGTGCGTGTCTCCGAGCTGGCCAGGTTGTACACAAAACCCCAATCAACCATCGCTACTATTGTGGCCAAGAAAACGGCAATCAAGGAAGCTGTTCTTGCCAAAGGTGCAACTATGTTTTCGAAACTGAGATCGCAAGTGATAGAAGATGTTGAGAGACTGTTATTGGTGTGGATAAACGAAAAACAGATAGCAGGAGATAGCATCTCTCAAGCGATCATATGTGAAAAGGCTAGGAAGTTGCATGAGGATTTAATTAGAAAAATGCCAGCAACTAGTGGTGATGCGAGTGAATTTAAGGCCAGCAAAGGTTGGTTTGAGAAATTTAAGAATCGTAGTGGCATACATAGTGTGGTAAGGCATGGCGAGGCTGCCAGTTTGGACCAAAAAGCAGCTGAAAAATATGTGCAGGAATTCAAGGAGCACATAGACAGTGAAGAATTGAAACCTGAAGAAGTGTTTAATTGTGACACTGACAATGTTGTTAAATACTTTAGGAATGTCATAAAGGAACGGGAGGTACAGGCCTCTATGGACAGATATGTTGTGCGACAGAGGTCCAGTGACTCAAGCTGGTCCTAGTGGCATTAAAAGAAGAAGGGAAGTAACCCCGAAAAAGGACTTGCCACCTCAAGTCCTAATGGAAGGGGATTCCCCTTCTAAACATTAACACCAACACACTCCCATCCTATCAATCATCACCAGATCTTCAATAAAGTTAAGTGTCATGTAACTCTGCATGTCTTCTTCAGTTTGTGTGTATTTAAATTAATATTTCACGTGGTAAAAAAACTTTTTCAATACTTTTGGGTCTCTTGCACGGATTAATTTGATTTCCATTATTTCTTATGGGGAAAATTAACTCTACTAACGATAATTTCGATTAACGATGAGCTCTCAGGAACGGATTAATATCGCTGGTCAAGGGTCCAATGTATACTCAACAGACATTCCTCTATAATTTTTAAATACTCTCTTGTCTCCTTTTCCTCAGTATAAAGATACTAAGCATGCTTGGAGAAATTACCATCAAACCTCTTGACAAGTTCCTAAAGTCTGTTGCAGATCAGCCAGGTCTGGACTACCAGCACATGGCACCAACAGCCTGATTGATAAGATCGACAACAAGGAGGTCTACTTTGGGATTGGAATGCGGAGGTATTGACCCCAAAATCGATGCAAGGTAAATGCTCAGCCAATCTTTGGTACCATTACTTCATGTTTTTGCTTTTAACAGACTGGCTGTCTCGCACCAAGGCAGGGTGACCCGAAAAAGAAAAAACACTTTCACCATCACTTGCTCTACTGTCTTGCCAGAGGCATGCTGACACTACAGTTCAAAACTGCAAATATCCCCACCCCGCCTTCACATTGCAGGCACTATACTTCCCACCTCCGGGACTCAAATCAGGCTAACCAATTTCCCTGAATCCCTTTATAAATGTTATGCTGCTCACACTCCAACAGCACATCAAGTCAAAAACCACTTCTCTTCACTCACTCCTAACATGGTTACACATTCATTCTGAAAGTCTAAGCTCCTTGTACACAAAACCCCCCTTTACCCACTCCCTCCAACCTTCCTTAGGATTACCCTTACCCTGCCTTCCCTCCACTACAGATTTGCAAGTCCTCCTATTTTGTTCCATCCTCTCTTCAGCCCTCTGGATAATACTTTTAAAACCCTGCACCTCCTCCTAATCTCCAAGCCAGGAATTCTCTGCATAATATTCACACCACACATTGCCCTCAGACACGACATCTCCACTGCCTCCAGCCGCCTCCTTGCTTCAACATTCATACCCATATATGAGTTTTGGTACCACTGTATTCCCACACATACACATTTCTGCCTACATGCATTTTTTTTTTTAAAAAGTCGGCCATCTCCCACCGAGGCAGGGTGACCCAAAAAGAAAAAATCCCCAAAAAGAAAATACTTTCACCATCATTCAACACTTTCACCTCCCTCACACAATCACTTTTTGCAGAGGTGCTCAGAATACAACAGTTTAAAAGCATATACGTATAAAGATACACAACATATCCCTCCAATCTGCCAATATCCCAAACCCCTCCTTTAAAGTGCAGGCATTGTACTTCCCATTTCCAGAACTCAAGTCTGGCTATATAAATAACCGGTTTCCCTGAATCCCTTCAATCCATGGATACATTGAACAAATACACCAACCAGACCAAATTATATCACCACCTGCTGTTAACATATCAAGTCTTAACCCCTGTCTGTCCCAGCTACATTACTCCATCATTCTACCCACTGTCCCAGCTGCTTGACTATCATTCTACCCACTGTCCCAGCTGCTTGACTATCATTCTACCCACTGTCCCAGCTGCTGAATCATTTACCCATGTCCAGCTGCTTGACTATCATTCTACCCACTGTCCCAGCTGCTTGACTATCATTCTACCCACTGTCCCAGCTGCTTGACTATCATTCTACCCACTGTCCCAGCTGCTTGACTATCATTCTACCCACTGTCCCAGCTGCTTGACTATCATTCTACCCACTGTCCCAGCTGCTTGACTATCATTCTACCCACTGTCCCAGCTGCTTGACTATCATTCTACCCACTGTCCCAGCTGCTTGACTATCACTCTACCCACTGTCTCATGCACTTGACTATCACTTACCACTGTCCCAGCTGCTTGACTATCACTCTAACCACTGTCTCATACACTTCACCCACACTTACCTCTAGCCCTTCTCTCCTGCAACCATTATTCCTCCTTGCTAAATTAATAACATTCACCAAAACCTCAAAGCATTCTATCTTTCTAGCAGCCAGAATGTGAGAATAAGTGTGCTGAATGATAGTACAAGCCCAGTGAACAATACCTGTTCTCACAATAATGCTAATGCCTAAAGTATTTGGAAAGAGACACTGCGAACACCAGGACTTTATTTTTAACACTTCAGCCATCTCCCATGGAGGTAGGGTGACCCAACAACAAAGAAAACACTTCCACTGTCACTCATGCAATCACTGTCTTGCCAGAAGGGTGTCGAAATCACACTAGTTAGATGACCCTCCAATGCTGCAACATCCACCACCCCTTCAGAGTGCAAGCACTAAATGTACATCTTGAATGACTAAGGTCCCAGGATGTGAAGGTTTCCAAAAGAATGTCCTAGAGTAGCATTTTGTGTTTTCCAATAGTTGTATGTTGCATAACTCAATAAGCACCACCTAAAGCACCTTGCTCAGCCAGGGATTGTGGGGTTTATGTTAAACTGCACCTGTTAGCACCAATAGCCTGATTGAGCAGGATATCAACAGAGAACCATGGTCCCTGAATCAACAAGCTGGCAGAAAATTCATTACAAAAACAATGGTCTACGCACCCAAAAATTTCCGCAAGTTCTTCACTGGGACTGTTCTTTCGGCCTGCTAGCAAGGCATATAGTTTCTGTAGACCAGAGGTAACCACAGTCAGTGGGTTGTTGCTGACAGTGGGACGATCTATCGTGTACCGACGACCCGTGATTGGTGTTTGTGGCACTAGATGATGATCGCCCTCAAATGACTGCAAGAAAATATTAAGTCTTAAAATAATTTTTTTTTTAAGTGGAATTATAGTCAATACCATGATCGCGCTCAGCAGTCATGAACACGGAGTTCCATCCAACACCAAGCATGAGCAACTAAACTGTCCCTAGACTTAAGCTGTTCAATTTATTCTCTACCGACTCATTTTTTAAATTCCAAATTGATTTAGGGGCAAAGATGAATGTCCATCTGAAGGCATAAGGATGATGAAAATGTGAAGAGTGCATTTAGAAAGCCTGTACAAGCAACAGCCAGAGGGAGTCAGTTGTGTACAACTTGCAACCTATCTAATCAAATTTTAAATTATCACAACTTTCTTTGCACTAAGTGAATTACATCTATCAGTAACAGACATTCCTACCTACTGGCAGATTTACCAGTTAGTTGCATCGCCTAAAATGAGCTACATTTATGTGAAACATCACTAAGATATGCACCAGTATACAAGCGATTATTCTAGATCTGCTAAATCCTAATCAGAGCTTAAGAGGTTCTTACATTCAGAACTGTCAGCAAAGTGTTCCTTGCAAAGTTAACTTAAATGGTTAACAATTCGAAATGAACAATGTTCAGGAATGATTGACATTAATAAATTTATTTAGGTACAGCTATATATAATATAGCTACACAAATTATCATCGAGACACTTATGCAACATATGGGAATCTTCATTGAAGAAACGTTTCGCCACACAGTGGCTTCATCAGTCCAATACAAAGTAGAAATGGGTAAGGAGAGGAGTAGTTTGAGGTAATCAGTCCCTCAACCTGGAATCGATGTGTTCAGTCCATCATTCTTGTAGGAAGTACAGCATAGGGCCAGAGAGGTGGCTTATATACTGCAGTCAGAAGAGTCGAAGCAGGAGGAGGCAGGATCACAGTGGGACCTGCCACTAGTGTAAGTAGGTCGTTGCCCGAAGGTTGGACAAGCGTTGAAGTCTTTGTACCAAGATCCCATGATGTTGCAGTGTCTGACAGATGTGATGAATGGTTTTGAAAACCAACAAGTTAAAGAACTGAGACACTTGTCGGTTTTCAAAACCATTCATCACACAAATTATCGTACATAGCAACATGTTGGTAAATTACCAAGAAGAATCCAAAGTAAGTCAGAAAAGTGACATTTCTATTGGGATCCATTATTTTCATCACTCATACGAGTCCCATACAATACGTGGACAGGACCTGACTGGCCGTGTTCTCTTTCTATTCAGTGTCTTGATACCTGTAAGTGGATGTGGTTACAGCTACAACTGCATACTGATTTGTGATTTTTTTATTCTTTTTAAAAATTTTACTTATGTTTTTAAGTTTACTGATTTTACAATTTAATACAAGTACATTTGTACTGTAACATGACAAGACATATGGTGTGCAAATGGCGGCTTGTGTGTATAACTACCATATACTGCAATTCTACTTTTGCTTTTTATATGATAATGTTCTCTTAATATCAGGATTGTTTGAGGCCAGTAGAAGTATTCTTACGGGAGGTTTGATGGTAAACTAGTGAATCAGCCTACTGATACTAACATAGTTCATCCCACTCGATCGCCTGGTTTACCTTAGCTTACCGTTGCTAAGAGCAAACAAATTTTTATGATTATTTTTTATTTACAGCGTCTCCTCACTTAAACAGAGTTCTGTTCTTAAGACCATGATGGTAAACGAATTCGTCGTTAAGCGAGGAGCATACTATATGGTAGTTGATTTGTGTCTACCATCTTTGATACTGTTTTAATGTCACCTTTGCACTATTTACAACATTTCTAGTACATTTTTAAAAGTTTATACAGTAGTGTACTGTATATTGTAATAAAAAGAATAGAGGAAATAGCTCTAATATACATTATTTAGGTATGCATACTGATCAGATAGCCCGTCGTAAGTCTGACTCATCAGTAAGCGAGTACAGTGCTAAGTGAGGAGAGGCTGTATTCAATATTTCATACAAAACAGTTTACATAATTCATCACTCGGTCATATACAGGAGCTAAGATTACCACATAGCATTGAAAAAACTTTCTACAATTAGGTCGAGGACTGAGTAATACTGGTGTGACTTGGACCTGCCTAGCATGGGCCACTGGGCTGCCACACTGCTCCTTTTTTATGTCCTTGTGTAACCTTTGGCATCCAAGACAATGGGTAAATTCCCGAGATATTTTTGAAAGAGAAAAAAGAAAAGAGAAAACAAGAAAGGAGAGAGAAAACGAGAAAGAAAACGAGAATGAGAAAAAAAGAAAAAAAGGGAAAGAAAAAAAAGAAAAAAAAAGAAAAAAGATAGAAAAAAGGGAAAGAAAAAGAAAAAAAAAAAAGAAAAAAAGAGAGAAAAAAGAAAAAAAGAAAAAAAGAGTAAAAAAAAAAAAGAAAGAAAAAAGAAAAAAAAAAAAAGAAAAAAAGAGAAAAAGAAAGAAAAAAGAAAAAAGAGAAAAAGAGGAAAAGAGAAAAAGAAAAGAGAAAATAGAGAAAAAGAGAAAGAGAAAAAGAGAAAGAGAAAAAGAGAGAAGAGAAAAAAAGAGAGAAAAGAGAAAGAGAAAGAGAAAGAAAGAGAAGAAGAGAGAAAAGAGAAGAAAAGAGAGAAAAAGAGAGAAAAAGAGAGAAAAAAGAAAGAGAGAAAAAGAGAGAAATAAGAGAGAAAAATAGAGAGAAAAAAAAGAAAAAAAAGAAAAAGGAAGAGAAAAAGAGAAGAAAAAGAGGGAAAAAAAGAGAAAAAAAAGAAGAAAAGAGAGAAAAAGAGAAAGAAAAAAGAGAAAAAGAGAAAAAAGAGAAAGAAAAAGAGAAGAAAAAAGAAAAGAGAAAAAAAAGAAAAAAAGAAAAGAAAAGAAAAAAGAAAAGAGAAAAAAGAGAAAGAGAGAAAAGAGAGAAAAAAAAGAGAAAAAAGAGAAAAGAAAAAAAAGAGAAAAGAAAGAGAAAAGAGAAAGAGAAAGAGAGAAAAGAAAAAGAGAAAGAAAGAGAAAAAGAGAAGAGAAGAGAGAAAGAGAAAGGAAGAGAGAGAAAAAAAAAAGAAAAGAGAGAAAAGAAAAGGAAGAAAAAAGAAAGAGAAAACGAAAAGAAATGAAGAAAGAGAGAAAAGAAAAAAAGAGAGAAAAGAAAAAAAAGAAAAAGAAAAGAAAAAAAGAGAAGTGAGAAAAAAGAGAAAGAGAGAAAAGAGAAAGAAAAGAGAGAAAGAGAAGAGAAAGAGAGAAAGAGAAGAAAAGAGAAAAAGAGAAAAAGAGAAAAGAAAAGAAGAAAAAAAAGAGAAGAAAAGAGAAAAGAGAAAAGAGAAAAGAGAAAAAGAGAGAAAAGAGAGAAAGAGAAAAAGAGAAAAAGAGAAAAAAGAAGAAAGAAAAGAGAGAAAAAGGAGAAAAGAGAAAAGAGAAAAAGAGAGAGAAAAGGAGAAAAGAGAGAAAAAGAGGAAAGAGAAAAGGAGGAAGAAAAGAGTAGAAATAAGAGAGAAAAAGAGAGAGATAAAAGAGAGAGAAGAAAGAGGAGAGAGAAAAAGAGAGAAAAGCGAGAAAGAGAAAAAGAGAGAAAGAGAGAGAAGGAGAGAGAAAGAGAAACAGAAGAGAAAAAAGAAAAAAGAGAAAAAAGAAAAAGAGAAAAAGAAAGAGAGAAAGAGAAGGAGAGAGAAAAAAGAGAGAAAAGAGAAAAAGAGAGGGAAAAGAGAGGAAAAGGATAAAAGAGAAAAGATAGAGAAGAGACAAGGAGATGCCGCGAGCTGAGCTACAAAGAGGAGAGCAGGAACAGTCGCTCTCCGGCGAACCCGTCGCAGCGCTAGACGACGATCACTCCAGGTTAGGCTCGAAGAACAGACTGGCGCTGAGTGCGCGTACCGACTAAAGGCGAGGCGAACAGACGCGAAAGAGACGCGGCCGCAGACGCGCCCTAGACGAACCCGACTCGCTCGGCCGTGCTGGAAGGGCGGGACGAGAAAAAAAGAGAAAAAAAGGAGAAAAAGGAAAAAGAAGAAAAAAAAGAGAAAAAAAAAGGGAAAGGAAAAGAGAAAAAGAAAAAAAAAGGAAAAGAGAGGGAAAAGGGGAAGAAAAGAGAGAAAAGAAAAAGAGAAAAAGAAAAAGGGAAAAAAAAAAGAGAGAAAAAAGGAGAAAAAAAAGAGAAAAAGAAAGGAAGAAAAAAAAGGAGGGGAAAAGGGGAGGAGGGGGGGGAAAAAAGGAGGGGGGGGGGGGGGGGGGGGGGGGGGGGGGGGAAAAAAAAAAAAAAGGGGGGGGGGGGGGGGGGGGGGGGGGGAAAAAAAAAAAAAAAAAAAAAAAAAAAAAAGGGGGGGGGGGGGGGGCCCGGGGCCCCCCCCCCCCGGGGGGGGGGGTTTTTTGGGGGGGGGGGGTTTTTTGGGGGGGGGGGGCCCGCCCCCCCCCCCCCCGGGGGGGGGGGGGGCCCCCCCCCCCGGGGGGGGGGCCCCCCCCCCCCCCCCGGGGGGGGGGGGGGGGGGTTTTTTTTTGGGGGGGGTTTTTTTTTTTGGGGGGGGGGGGGGGGGTTTTTTTTTTTTTTCCCCCCCCCCCCCCCCCCCTTTTTCCCCCCCCCCCCCCCCCCCCCCCCCCCCCTTTTTTTTCCCCCCCCCCGGGGGGCCCCCCCCCCCCCCCCCCCCCCCCCCCCCCCCCCCCCCCCCCCCCCCCCCCCCCCCCCCCCCCGGGGGGGGGGGGGGGGGGGGGGCCCCCCCCCCCCCCCCCCCCCCCCCCCCCCCCCCCCCCCCCCCCCCCAAAAAAAAAAGGGGGGGGGGAGTTTGAAAAAGGGGGGGTTGGGGGGGGGGGGGGGGCCCCCCCGGGTTTTTTTGGGGGGGAAATTTAGGGGGGGGGGAAAAAATTTGGGGGGGGAAAAAACCCCCCCGGGGGGGGAGGGGGGGCCCCCCCCGGGGTTTGGGGGGCCCCCCCTTTGGGGGGGAAAAAAAAAGGGGGGGGGGGGGGGGAGGGGGGGGAAAGGGGGGGGAAAAAAAGGGGGAACCCGGGCCCCCATAAAAAAACGGGGGGGGGGGGGGTTACCCCCC